AGCTCAGAAGGGACTTCCCCATCCATGAATCCGAAATGGGTTTCAAACTCGCCAGTGCAGTGTCTTCGACGTAGGTTGCTTTCTGCTGGGTTTTGTGACGACCATTTTCGTTATTTTGCAGAGGCTGAAGATATGCCGCTTTCAAAGGAGCCTCTACGGCCGAACTCACTCCAGCTACGCGGCTTCCATGTGGATAGAGTTAAATCTGTCAGCGACGTATTGGAATACAGACTCACTGGCTCATTTCCCTTTCAAGACTTGTGGGATCAAATGTTCAGCTTCCCGATAGACCAATCCCAGATGGCTGTGTACCATGACAAAACCCCTCTGGTAATGGCCTTCAGCCTTACATTGCTTGCGGCCCCATTGGGAGCGGCAATGGGTGATATTAATCAGCTGATGGGTGATAAGGAAGGCTTAACAAAAGAGAGGTTTATGCAGCAGGGCAAAGCGGACGCTGCTGCCTACCTTCTATCCAACATCCTTATAGCCGATAACCTTTCAATAACATACGGCCCTCAGAAGGACATTCTCCTTGACCACCTTTGCAGCCTTGCGACGGTGGATGCTGGTGAAGGAGGAGCTGATGCTGATCGATTCGAGCGTGGTGTGAGATCTATATGTTTCCATCGCCGCTTCTATATTACAGAGAAGGGTTATTTAGGTATCGACCCTCAGATGATGCGTCCTGGTGATGAAGTCTGTGTGCTTTTTGGAGGCCGCATTCCATTTATCTTACGTCGTACGCCGGACCACCATCTCTTCATCGGAGACACATATATCCACGAACATGATGTTATGTGGGGAAAGATAACTGAGGGCATTAAACGTCGCGGAGAAACTGATTTCCCTGTATTCCTATATGAAATGAAATGAGAAAACGTGTACATGAATCATTGTGCATTGCATATCGGACAATGCTGCTATTCCCATTCCGGATTTGAGAAAACTTGTAGGCTTTAACTTACGTGCTCATCTCTAGATATAAATAGTATTAGTAAATACTATATTTTGACAAGTGTGGTTGAGCCACTCTTCACAAAACCTTGAGAAGATTTCAATCACATAGCAACTGATGTTGCCGTATATTCAAATTGTTAAGACAGAGTCTGTTTACTCCTTCGGTCAAGAGGGGGGCTTTTGCCGAACCTCGGCATCTCTGACCTTGCTTGGGAAATTCTCGCTCCCGAATCCCGACTTGCGCAGGGACTGCGGGGACGGGAGCTGTATTTCAGCAGAGACAGGGTGATAGACAGTCGGTTTCTTCGTGCAATCCTAGCTGGCCCTATTTCAACATGCGTGCAATCCAAGTAAGGGAATATGTGAAGGTATGAACGGCTTGCGATATACTCAGCAATCCGACCCTTGTCCGCTGGGTGGAAGTCAACACACCCTTTATCTGTTGAAAATGAATTAATAAATAAATAAATCCAGGGCCCTCTCGACCTGACGGTCACAACCCTCCCAACTCCAACCCCTTCTGCAGACAAATACCTCATAAAAATTCACTCTGCGGGCACGAACTTCTTCGACCTCCTTCAAATCCAAGGGAAATATCAACACCAGCCGCCTTTGCCATGGATATCCGGCATGGAATTTGGCGGGACAATTCTCAGTCCGCCCACCGCTGCCAGCTCCCCAAAGTTCAAAGTCGGCGATCGTGTCTTCGGAGCCTCTCAGGGCGCCTATGCCACACACATTCTAGCCCACGAATCTGCGCTGAGACCGGTGCCTGAAGGCTGGAGCTTCGAGGACGCAGCAGGCCTCTTCATCACCGCGCCGACCTCTTATGGAGGCCTCGTAACGCGGGCGAATGTGCAGAGCGGGGATTGGGTGCTTGTGCACGCCGCAGCAGGCGGGGTGGGCCTAGCTGCGGTACAGGTTGCAAAGGCCAAGGGGGCAACCGTTATCGCGACAGCGGGGTCATACAGGAAGAGACAGATCGCCAAGTCCTTCGGGGCAGATTACACGATTGACTACAAGGATTCTAAGTGGCCGGATGCTGTGAAGAAATTATGTGCGGAGAAACGGACGGGGAATGGTAAGGCTGGTGTCGATATTGTGTATGACCCTGTGGGGATGATTGATCAGAGTCTCAAGTGCGTAGCCTGGAACGCGCGGCTGTTGGTGATTGGGTTTGCAGCGGGAAAGATCGAGGAAGTTGCGCTGAATCGGGTATTGTTGAAGAACGTTAGTATCATGGGGTTGCATTGGGGCCAGTATGTAAATTTCGAGAAGGAGACAGTGGGAGTGGTTTGGGATGGCATCTTTGAGTTGATTAGGCAGCGCAAGTTTAGGGGGACAAGCTTCCACGGATCGAAAGCTATGTCGGGTATTGGAGAGTGTACCAAAGGGCGCTGCAGGCGCTGGGGGAACGAGAGACTTGGGGGAAGGTCGTCGTAAAGATACCCGATGGGAGCGAAAGGGACGTCAAGCAAATTTTGATTTGGGAAGATCTTGATGGGGTTTATCAATGTGGATGTTAGGACTACGTTGATGTATATACGAATAGACTTGTTTAATAAGGACCCATTCGGAAGCTAACGCGAGAATGAAATATATTTTATTGATCAGAATTGGTAATAGCGACAGTACTACCAACTGTGGTTAGAATACTGAGTTGATAACATCTAGAAGTTTTATTCGGAATGTAGGACGCAAGGAGTCATGCTCATCTGTGGAAAAGCCATTCTACTCGGAAAATGAGAGAAAGCCCAGAAAACATGAACTATGAGGGTTCCTTTAAAAGGTGGCTTGCTTTCGCAATGCAAGCAAAGACAAAACATGCCAGGAGAGAATGTCACCTTGTAGCTTTCTAGGAGCAAAATGCGCCCGAAGAAGCAAAAATAACATCCTCTCTGGACATGAATGCATGCTGCTTGAATCCAAAATCCAGCTCCAATCAACATGCACACAAGACGTGTAAGGTATGTTGATTGTCCTTCGCTGTGTGAAGGGTTCGTGATCTCAACGAAAATTGGAGGAACAGCTGGATATTCGGGTATTGCTCTTGTTCTGACATACGACAACCCTTCCCTTCGACGTGATGTGGGTACGCCCGGGAGTGGAAGCAGACAAGACGGACCAGACCCTTGAAGATGTTCTCACTCTCACAGGCAGTATGAATCCCGCAGATATGGCTCGAAAAGAAGACGAACGGAAATAGAGACAGGCCTTCTGCCCCCTACGCGGAATCATTTTTTAACCCCCAGCTCCCACAAAAGATCTTGTCCTTGTTTCTCGTATCCCGGTGAACCAGCATTGAGGCCGGCATAGATATGTTCATTCCGGTCGACGATGATTCAACCCACAATGTTTTCCGGCTGCCTGAAAAGCTAGCATTACGGATTTTGATAGACCGCGGAGTTTCGCCTTGCCACTGCGCGCTGATGCCTCCAGGACAAGTTTCGCCATCAGAATCAGGTATGGGCTATGCAACTTGGCTGCAGTAGTAATTGGCGCTTTTGTGGAGAAGAAGGGCCAGGCGATCTTCGAGAAGCATTCTCGAATTCCGCAGCGTCAGGGATGCCAGGTTTCGACATGCTGGCGATGCTGTGCCGTGTGCTGTGTGGCATGCTGCGTGTGGAGACCAAGGAGAGCGAGGGATTCTTGTATTCTGTTTGCTCTGCCACTGCCATCGTTTCAACTTTACGATCAAGAGCGGCGCACAGATGGAGTACGCCTGCTGCTCGCCGAGACCACCGACGGTAATGACTGCGATGGTGAGAAGAAGTGACCGATGATGTTGCAGGTGGTCAATAGTTAGTAACTATCAACCGTGCGGATGGATTACCTCGACCGCGATGAAGGAGACTGCCATGCGTCCGGTGTCACTGTGAAGGGGCAGACAGGGCCGAATAGATCCGCGGGTTGTGGGTGATCCATCCAGGTTTAGTTAACTAGTTATTAATAACTAACGACAAGATTTCACTTTAGCACCTCTTTAGGGACACTGTAGCATGAGGCTATGCGCCATGCCACGCCCCCGAAGCGGAGGGCCATGACAGATGATGGGGAACACGAATGGCATAGTTAATGGAAAACCACCGTATGGTTATCGACTGGCGCAATCAGTCTCTGCCCGTATTCCCAGGCGTTCCTCGTGGCCAACACGCGACCGATCTCCGAGGCAGTGTTGATTGTGTTGGATGAAGAAGCAATTCGACCCTGAGATCAAGTGTTCAGGCGCATCTGAGGATTCAGCGGAAGTTCCCCTTTGGTTCATTGCGAGAACAACCTGAGAGTACGCCTTTTCCTTCTAAAATAACTAGTGGAACTAATCTCCACCATCCTGACCACCAACTTCCCAGAAGTTGGCCCCGTTGTTCTTTTTATTGTTTAAATCCCACACATTTCTCGCAATCTTGAAACCTCAATTACGATATCTCCGACACAGGAACAGATACATAACTTGGACATACTTGAAAAAAAAAAAAAAAAACATTTCCGTGGTATAGTTATCTTGTCTTTATTCATTGCGATCGCTCTCCTTCGTTTGAAGCCATGAAATTCTCGTACGGCCTTGCGCTTTGCACGCTCCTGTCGTTCTCCTCCACAGTCGCGCCGCGCAATATCATTTCAACGGACGTCGATGTATCAGCCCTTGCTGCTCCAAAAGCTTTTGACCCATCCCTCATCGCTGCCCGGTCCAAGTTCTCTGACCTACAAAAGCGCAGAGGGGGTGGAGGAGGTGGAAGGGGTGGTGGGGGCGGAGGCGGAAGGTCTGGCGGGGGAAGAGGAGGCCGCAGTGGTGGGGGAGGACCCAAGGGTGGTGGAAGGGCCGCGGGAGGCCGGGGAAGCTCAAGTTCGCCTGGTGCCCGCCCTTCAAGGTATGTACCTATTCATTCAAAAATTCTGTTTGCCAGTTTTGCTCAATCCGGATATTCGCTGACCCTCCTTCCTCTGAACAGTAATCTTGGCGGTTCTTCGCGATCTGGCTCCGGAACTCCTCGCTCGTTTGGCGGAGGCGGATTCTATGCCGGTGGCGCCTCAGTCCCCTACACAGCTGGCAAGGCTTCGCGGAAAGGGCTTCTTCCGTTCGCCTTCCTCCCACTCGCCGCCCTCGCATTCTTTCCCGGTTTGTGGCTCTTTGGTGCCCACGCCTACCACATCGGCTATTTTGACTATCGCAACACCTCTGAGCCCAACGCCAACACGACTCGGATCCCCATTGAATGTCTCTGCCAACAATTCAGCGTCTGCGGCTGCGAGAAGAACGATAATGCGACTTATATCGATCAGCTGCTCAGTCCGAAGGATCAATATGGCATGCCGGAGAATACCACGACAGTTAGAGTTGTCCCGAAAGATGATGGATCGACGACTATATATGTGAATGGCACCTTGGCAAATGGAACGACGAATCCGGACCCTTCCATCCAGGAAGACAGTGGTGTCGGCGTTGCCCCTCCTATGTTATTGAGACTGGGTGGGTATGGGTATTGGGTTATGTCTTCGTTGGTAATTGCAGCTGTTATGTTGATATGATTGTGATGGCTTTTTTTTTTTTTTTTTTTTTTTTTCTCCTACTCTCTTTTGCCTGTCCTCAATTCCTCTTTCTTTGTTTATTGATTTCTACGATTTTTTGGGACGATACCCTATTTGTTTCGCAACTGTCTTTTATACATAGACCTGCGCTAGATCTGGCTTGGTTTATTGCCATCTACAGTACCTACCTGTACGATATCTCGGCTGGTTCGCGTCGAGTTTCACGATGTCTACGGTTTCTGTTTTGGAGGACATTGTTGATCTGTTACTTTCTCTTTGCTTGCCGAGGCCCCCCTCTTGTATTCTAGTATTACTATTCTATTACGATTCATACTGTACCATATGACGTCATGGTAATGTGATGTCTATTTTCTGCCCGAAATCTGATAGCTGGTCCGACTCAATTGGTCCGTTGGCAGGTAAAGCTTAGCTGACCTTAACTTGTGAACTGTCTGGATGGGTTATTGGGAAGAAATTGTGTATGGTGGCAAAGCATTGAAGATCAAAGAAGGATAGGACAATGTAAAATAATAGGAGGGCTAGGATTTTTCCGGATAAATGAATGTCTCAGGATGATGAGTGAGCGGAACTTGATTTCCCGAAATGAAAAGTACAATAATACAGATCCAGGAAGTCAATAGTTAAGTCCAGACAAATACACTACATACGTACATCACCAATGGGTCTGCTCCGACCCTGATTCCTTGTAGGTAGCTTCATATCTACACGGAGAGAAATAGTTGGTTAGCAAGTCCATACAAAGTAAAATAACAAGGAAAACAAAGTGGAAAAGAAGGAGAGAAGAGAAACAAAGCACAGGAGATATAATCAAAAAAGTGGAAGGCAAAAAGAAAGGCAACACACCTTTTCCCTCTAAATCCCCACAGACCCCAATTTCCACAGGAGACATCATGCGGATCCATATCATTCAAATCCCACCTAAGGCTCCGGAATTTATTCTCCCCGGGCTCCAGTAACATATCAACCTCCCCTCCACATTTCTCCATCACCCAATCCATATCCCTCTGCATATCCCACTCCGAGTATCCGGTGCACAGAATCGGCACTTTGGTCTGCAGCAGATGTGGCAGGGTCTCTTCCCACTCGTGTGAGCTGGCCGGATGCCCCAGACCCGGGTGGAACAGCATGAAGCAGTCAAAGTAAGGGTCGTACGGCTGGAACATGTTTGCCTGATGCATTGTATGGAAGTAATCGACGTACGTGGTTATCTTCATCAAGGAGTGCAGGCGGTCTTCGACGATGCCGCCGAACGGGTTTGAGGGGGTGCGTTCGGGAAGTGGGAATTCGTCATCCCGATTCGCCATGCTCTCTGGGCCGATAAAGATGAGATTTATGAGTGCGCGCGGGAAGAGGTAGGAGAGTTGTAGCCAGACGTCGCGGGGCAGTGAAGATTCGGCGCGTGCGCCTAGAATGAAGATGCGGACGGGGGGTGCTTTGACACGGAGGCCGGCCATTTGTGACCCCTCACCGGTTCTGGGCGGATGGAGTGTATAGCGGAGGGCTGAGAGTGACTCTTTAGTAATTTTATTCTTGAAAGAGCTCGTGCTCACCGCCGAACACGTATTTCATTTTGTTGTGAGGTACATACCGCTCAAACTTTTTAATCCCTCTGGGGTCAATCGGCCTCCTTTCCGAATATTATATGGGCTAAGCTCATGTAGTACACTTGCAATGGTGACAGGGTACGTGAGCAATCTTGTTACCTGCCTCATGTGTCTATCATTGTTAATAGCATCGAACTGCCTGGTATACAAAAACGTATCCCAATTTGTCATATTCACTATAGAGTCATCCTCCTGTAGGCCGGGGTAGTTAAACTCTGAGAAGAACCGGCGAGACCGCAGGTCATGATCATCCTCATTGATTTGTCGGATGGTTTCGCATACTTCCAGGTGTGCTTCAAAATCATCCATCCAATGACCCTCGGAGCAATATATCGGTACGCCGCAGTCTGGGCATTCGAATTGAGAGTGTGCTGGTGGTTGGCTATCGCTGCTGGTTTCGGGGGACTTTCTCGATTCGGAGTCATGAGGAGATGTAGGAACGCGCGTCTGTCGATGACTTGGGTGTGGGCAGAAAGCATTTTGCTTTATGAAGGCTGCACGCTGGCGGATTTCGGGAGAGGGGGAGTTGGTAAATGAGTGGAAGAGGTTGTCAGGCTTTAATAGGGGTTTTGCATTGTACGCTGCGGAAGGGTCTGCCGCAGCCACTTGACTGACTGACGACGATACGGATCTTGCGATGATAGTTCCAGTGTTGATATTACTGGGCCGTGATACTGAGCATGCTTGACGGTGAAAACTGGATGCCTGCGTGTTTGGTCGGTGATATCGCCGTTTGAGGTGGGGTAGGGTCCGCGCTCGGATTGGCGAAATATGTGGCCGAAATCCCAGTCGGAGAGCTTGTGCACATTTTTGACAAGTGAACTCCATTATTATTGGGAATTATGGCCGGTTGTATGGGGGGAAATTTGTGTTGACTAGCTGCTGAGGAAGATGTCGTTGGAAAAAATATCTTGGAAGCCATTGAACATCATCACGTGGTTAGAATCTTTGTATTGGATCTATTTCTTTGATATCATATCTCATCAATTGAATTTCTATATTATTGAAGACTATAATAATCCTGAAAAACACAAAACATATATAAGGGTACACATCAAAGAACAACTAATTATAGGCTCGATATACTAGAAGCCTCAATAAAGCATAACAAAGTAGTCTGGGCTGGAGGGACAAAACAAAACATAAAATATAACGAGAAAAAAAAAAAAAAAGGAAAAAATACCGGTAAAACCTAGTAACAACGCCCTAAAATATATCCTCGCAGACAGACCAGTCACCAGCATCTCTACACCGCCAATACCGACCGTTGTAAACCCAGTACTCCTCGCCGGTGATCTCACATTTGCCCCTAGTAAACCACTTTGGCTCAAACTCCTCGCCTTTGGCCTCCCGTTCTCGTCGCTTCGCCCTCTGCTTCTCCTCGACACGATGTTTCTCCGTTGCTGCAAATTCATACTCGCCATCTTCCATCGCGCGTTGGTCCGGGCGAAGCCGCGTGTCGGTTGGGGGGAGGTGATGTTTCAGGTTATCGGGGATGGCATTCAACGTGATTACAAAAGGTGTTAAGTTGAATGGGATACCGGTTGGTCGCGTGTTGCATTGCCAAACAAGGAATGCCTGCGTTGATCCTTGCTGACGAGGAAGGTCCTCACTTGGCGGTGTGACCGAATCTTGGTATCCTGGAGTGTGTCTGGCGTAGACCTTGTCGTTCCATCGGCCACCAATGCTCCATTTCGTGAATCCCTCCTTATCCATCACTTTGCCGGAAACATGGTAGGCGGAGGAAGCTTTCCAGCCTCGTGGTTTGAAGTCAAGCAAACAGACTTCACCAGTGGCCCAATTTTTGATTTCCATGGGCCCATAGTTGTCCACGGTAGGATTGCCAGTAATAATACCAACAACCGACGACGTAACCTTTTTCCACGTATAGAGCTCCTCACCACCGCTGACAGGACGTAGTCTCAAAAACCATGTACCGAGAGGGTTAATATCGAATGACTTGCCGTAAAACTTTGATTTTACAGCTGATTCACCCTACAATGAAGTCAGTATTCGGACAAAAATAATTGACAAGTAGTAATGATAATAGTATTTTTAAGGAGGGAAAATACATACGTAGTAATCCCATTTCGGAGACTCAGCCCAGGCGGCGCCAATAGGAGGATGATGGCTGACTTGTTCAATAAAGAATCTATAGCCTTTGTCTGGCCTCACATATTCGAACGTTTCCCCAAGCAGTGGGTTGAAAGGCTTCGCAACGCGGCCAATTGTGGAAGCATATTCACTCGCTGCAAAGGCAGCGACATAAACCATACGTTCCATTGAGTCTTGGAGATCGGCAGCGTGATCAAGCAGGTCTGTGTATTCCATGTCTTCCGCTACACGTTGGAGTAGCGATGTTGGTTCATTAAAGGAGACTGGGAGTGTCATTTTGGTCATGTCCTTGCCAATCATTGATTTCAGGATAGCCTGAAGTAGAGCGTTAGCAGAGAATTAGTAATTGAGGAGAGAATACTTAATCAAACCTACCCATAAAGAAATCTTGGGTCTATTGTCAGCATCCATCTTAAGCCTCACTCTAACTGGGTCCTCATATCCTTTAAATGAATGGGCAATTTCCTGGTATTTCAAAGTTCGGAGATCGGAAATCGCTTCTGCTGCCTCTACTGGCTTTCCTCGTCGAACTTCAATAACTTCCACTTCGCCAGCATCTACAGCATCAAAGAATTCTTCGTCTGCATCAGATTCAGAATCAGAAAACTTGGTTAATTCCGTAATTATGGACCGCTTTCTCGACAATTCCTGGCTAGCATTGTGATCGAGACAGGGGGGAGTTTCGGAGCCTGCTTCAACGACGGCTTCCAGGGCATCTTGAATTTGGACATGTGACAGGCGTCGGCTGATAGGATGACTAGTTGAAGCCGAGGGGTGCTCAAGAACTTCCTTGAGCGCTTTCTTAGTTTTCTTTCGTTTTTCCTCAGATTCCCCAATCCTACTTTGAAGTTCTTCGTGTTCTTGGGCAACCCGAGCCATGCTGTCCTCCCACATCTTGCGCGCATCTGCCTCCCGATCTAGCCGATATTGCCAATATGCGTCTCGATCCTTTGAAATTTTGAGTAAATCAGCTACGAGGGAGGTGAGATTGCTGACTCCTCGCTGGTAAGTAGTTAACGCTTGGTCTATTGAGGGCTCTGAAAGTGGGGTTTGAGGACTTGATGATTTCTCCTCCTGCAGGGCTGCGGAGACGTTGCTCAGCACCTCCAGTTGTAGTTTAATAGATTCCGCGGTGATATTGAAAGCGTCTTTGTTCGAAGGTTGCATCTCCTGGCTACTGGCATAATCCCCATAATCGTCATCTTCGAGGTCTCCTTCGACTGGGTTGCTGGTGGTGACAAGGGTTGGCAATCGGTTGGAGTCCGACGGGCTGAAGGTAGATTCGTACGGCCCAGAAGTGGAATCATCTTCACCTTGAGCGCTCTCTCTTGAAGTTTGAAGGCTCAGTCTAGAGCCGGCGTGGCTTGGTATACCAAGAGATGATGGAGGGCCCAAGGTTTTCCCGTTGGCTTTTTCAACAAGGCTGCATGAA